GAAAAGTCCAGCTAGGCGTTTATGCAGGCTTCCATTGATTTCGTTTCGCTCGAATCTTGACGACTCTCGATAGGCAAAGATAAGAGTGATATAGGATGATGAGATGGGAGAATAAACCCTTCACCATCCTAGCACTGATGAGGTTCCCTAGCTGGGTCACGAAATGTCTGTAAGAAAACTACCCAGCTATGAGAGCGTCAAGGATCTGACACTCTTCCCCCCTTCTAACCCTGATGCTGTTACCTAGCAGGGTGGTGAAACATCGGCAAGAAAACCACCCAGCTCAGAGAGCTCCAAGGCCCCTTCATTTCAACCCCAAGCTACAAATATTGCCGTCTATCCATATGGACTCCCACCCATGCCTGGTGAAGGACCAGCAGGGAGGACATTTGGAACTTGAGGAGCGCCCGGTTCCAGCAGAAAGTAACCCAAAAATAATCCAGAGCTTCAATTGCGGTATCTCAGCAATCAGTTTTTGCTCTGTGACACCCCTGGAAAGTTGCCCTGTTTTTTCAGGGGTCCAAAGTCTGCCTCCCTAAGGGTGGTTCCCTTCCTGCCCCCCCCAACAGCTTATGGGTCCCCGCATGACGTTGGACCACGAGCAACACAGCACCCCTCTCTCCCCCGTGTGTGTTATCCTGTCGGGGCTTCTGATCCTCACCTGATCTCCATGAATGATCAGTTTCTCTTCAAAGCTGTTGAAGGTGATGGCATCATGACCTTAACACCAGTTGCGCCCTATATTCAGCAAGTAGCACCCTCTAATTTCAAGGGGTTCAGGGGAAGAAACTGGGGCTGCCCAAACAGCATCCCGCTGAATTTTTACCGAGCTCACAGGAAGCCTGCTTAGGATTCTTGCTTTTTGGGCGATCCTCAACTGCCTTGGCAATTGCATCGGACTCTGGAGCTATCTCAGGGATCCTGCATTAGATTGAGGGATATAATCAAGATGTAGGGAGAAGAAGAAAGGTCCACATTCCCCCCCCAGGCATCCCATCAAATTTCTACTGAGCTCACATGAAACCTACTTAGGATTCTTGCTTTGAGGGCAATCCTTGGCAATTGCATTGGACGAGTTCCTCTCACAGCTCTGGAGCTATCTCAGGGTCCCTGCAATAGATTGAGGGATATGATAAAGATGTGGGGAAGAAGATAGGTCCATATTACCCCTGTAGGATTCCCGCCAGATTTCTGCCAAACTCATGTGAAACCTATTTAGGAGTCTCCCTTTGAGGGCAATCCTTGACTGCCTTGGCAATTGCATTGGATGAGTTTCTCTCACAGTTCTGAGGGATATGATCAAGATATGGGGAGAAGATAGGTCCACATTTTTTTCCTAGTGGCTGTTCGGTCTCTCCTCCTTAGAACTGTTTCAAAGGTGAAAATGAAAATGAACGCCAAGGAAGGAAGATGGTGAGGTTTGAAGCTCCTTTGGGTCTCCTGTATTCCTAGAGAAGGGGTCACCCAATGGGTGGGATGCCCCCTCCTCAACAGGAAGAGCCTCTGATCTGGGATCTCTCCACAGCATCCTCTGCGTTTGGCCCTTCATTGCCTCTCTCTCTCTCTCTCTCCTCTCTCTGTCTCTCTGTCTCTCTGTCTCTTTCTCTGTCTCTCTCTCTCTTCTCTCTCTTTCCTCTCTCTCTCTCTCTCTCTCTCTCTCTCTCTCTCTCTCTTTCTCTCTCTCCTGCCCTGATGGGCTCCTCATAGATATTCAGGACCACTGGACAACCTCAGTTTTTGAAGTGGGGTTCTCACTCACCCCCCCCCAGGAGCCACCTTCTAATGTCGACTTCGCCCCCACCCCCAGAATGACCAGCAAAGGCCATGCTGGCTGGAGGATTCTGGGAGCTGAAAGCTAAACATCTGCAGGACACATGATTTGAAAGGAAACTTCATGAGGACATATTGAGGGCCTCTCAGCAGCGGGATCCTACTTTAGTCACCGCCAGTTCGGTGGTTGATCTCCCCTGTAGCTGATTTTTTTTCACTACCGGTTCGGCCAAACCGGGGTGAACCAGTAGCATAACCACTACTGGGGCCTCTTAACCCTCTTTGGTAGTCAATGCTTGGATGAAGGTAACTAATTTCCTGTTTGCTGCCCCTAAATCTTAGGCGAGGGGGATTGGGGGAGACCACCCCTCTTCAGTCTACCCACCCCTCTTTTCCCCCTGGTCCTGCAGTGGGCCTGAGCCCCCTTCCACAGGCTCCCTGTGTCTTCCTCCCCTGTCTGCTTGTCTCCATCCTCCATCCGTGGTGTTGTGGTGGATGGCTGTGTATCCTTGGCCAGAAGCTACACTGGATGAACTGGGAATTTGGAGTGGGGGAGGCAGGAGAATGCTGGGGGGGGGAGGGCGCTGGCTGCCTCCCTTCTCCAAGGTTGCTGTTGCGCTGAGGACGGGGAGAGAGGAGAGGGAAGGGAGGAGAAGAGAGAGAGAAAAAGAGGACAGAAGGGGAGGGGAAGAGAGGAGAGGGAAGAGGAAAGAACAGAAGGGAGGGGAGGAGAAGAGAGGAAAAAGAGAGGAGGGGAGGGAAAGGGAGGAGTGGAGAGGGAAGGGAGAAAAGAGGAGAGAAAAGAGAGAAAATGGAAGGGGAAGGGAGGATAAGAGACGAGAGGGAGGGAGAGGAGGAGAAGAAAGGAGAGGGGAGGAGAAAAGAGGGAAGGGGAGAGGAGAGGAGAGGAAAGATAGGAAAGAAGACAGGGAGGGAGGAGGAAAGAAGGAAGGGAAGAATGAAGGAGAGGGGGGAAAGTAGGAAGGAATGAAGGAGAGTGGAGATGGGGAAGAAAAGAGGAGGAGGAGGAGGAGGAGGAGGAGGAGGAGGAGGAGGAGGAAAGAAAGCAGGAACTGGAGAGGGGTGGAGACAGAGAAGGAGGAGGAGTGAAGGAGAGAGAAGAGGAAAGAGAGAGAGGAGAGAGGGAAGAAAGGAGAGGAGGGAGAGGGGGAGATGAAACAGGGAGGAAAGTCGGAATGAAGGGGAGAGGAGGAAGAAAGGAGAGCAGGGAGAGGAGGAGAGGAGATAGAGGGAAGTAGGATGCAATGAAGAAGAGGAGAAGAGAGAGGGGGAAGGAGGGAGAGGAATTGATAAAGGAGAGAGGAAAATAGGAAGGAATGAAGGGGAGAGGAGGGGAGGAAGGAAGGACAGGAGAGAGGAGGAGAGGAGACAAGGAGGAAAGTAGGAAGGAATGAAGGAGAGGGGAGAGGAGAGAGGGGGAAGGAGGGAGAGGATGAGATAAAGGAGAGAGGAAAATAGGAAGGAATGAAGAGGAGAGGGGAGACGAGAGGGGGGAAGAAAGGACAGTAGAGAGGGGAGGAGAGAGAGGAAAGTAGGATGGAATGAAGGTGAGGGGAGAGGAGAGAGGGGGAAGAAAAGAGAGGAGGGAGAGGAGGAGAGGAGAGACAGGTGAAGACAGAGAGAGGGAAGGGCAGAGAATAACCCCAAAGCATGGGCATGTTCACGACTGCATCACTGCTTGCAGTTCCATCCTCGGGGACTGACGCTAAGGCTGTGCACAGCTTGGGTTACAAAGAAAAAAGAAAAAAAAAAAGAAATTAAAACAAGAAATGGCACTCCTGAGGCCAGCGATTGGCTGTCCTTTAAAGCAGCTGCGTCCTTTCCTGGGAAGAAAAAGGACAGCGCTGCTTTCAAGAGTTGCAAATGAAATGTCGTGTTTCTCATCCGAGAACTATTTCTTGCACCCTGGCTAGGATATATACAGGTAGTCCTTGTTTTACAACCGCAATCCAGCCCCACATTTCCTGTCGCTATGCCAGATGGCAGCGCCCCATGTTATGGCCTCCCTTGCCATCGCGGAGAAGCCAAGCCCTGCCGTTGTTAAGCGAGTCACATGGTCATTAAGTGAATCAGGCTTCTCCCTCCCTTGATGTTTGGAAGGTCACGAAAGGGAGAAATCACATGACCCTGGGACAGCACGACCGTCATAAATATGAGACGGTTGGCAAGCATTGGATCACACGTCGTGGGGATGCCGCGATGGTTGTAAGTGTGAAAAAAAGTGGCCAGAAGTCATTTTTTTCTTTGCCGGTGTAACTTCGAGCAGTCACTAAATGAGGACTACCTGTACTAGAGGCATGAAAGTACTCGGGAAAATACTCCGGCAAGCGTTGGACAGGCATTCTTTCGAGCCGAGTTTCTCAACTTTCGCGACTCGAAAAAAAACCACGGGTGGACTTCCAACTCCCAGAATTCCACAGCTGGCCTGAGGAATGCTGGGAGTTGAAGTCCGCGCATCTTAAAGCTGCTGGGTTTGAGACCCGGTTTGAAGAAAAGAGGCAAGCCCCCTTTGACCATCTCCCTGACTCGTTCCAACGACACCGGGAAACTAACCGATTTTTCTCTCTCTCCCACTTCCTGACCTGTTCCTGTTTCCTACCCTGCCCCAACATCCATTTAGGATGATCCCAGTGCCCCCCACAAGCTGCAGGACCCCTTGAAATCCTGCCTCAAAGACGACGAAGTGTTTAACATTCAGAATTCCACCTCGCCCAAGCTGGATAACCGGAAAGGCAATCCAGACGACCCCGATGCAAACTGTTTGCAGAACAATCTGACTTGAAGATCCAACCGGAAGACCGTGCAAACGGAGGGTGGAGTGGTGGGTGGTAACTGCGGGGAGGGAAAATGGGTTTCGATTCGATTATCATTATTTTGTTTCTTTCCCTCCCCCCCACCCCCCGTCTGCCAACGCCATCGCATGCTTTGATGTATTTCGTGCGGAAAAAAGAAAAGGAAAGTTTACTAAAGAAAAAAAATGGCTCGAAGATAATTTCTGGCAGCTTTCCCTAAATGAATGGTGTGTGCATTGATTTCTTGACCAGTCCCTTGTCTGTATATATGACCCCAGGTTAGTTGGCTTCCTTCCCCCCCCCCCCCCCCCCCCCCACCCCCGGCCCCCCCCCCCACGCCCCCTACCGGCTCTCACCCCGGCCCCCTCCCACCCCTGTGATTTCTAACCCTTCACTGTGGCTTGACTGATTTTTTTCATTCTTCTGTTTTTGCAATTTTAATTCCCCCCGCCTTCTTTTCTTTTCGTTTTTTCCTTTCTTTCTTTCTCCATTTTTTTTTCTTTTTGAGAAATCGGTTTTAAAAAATACGTGGGTAACAAAAAAAATAATAAGTGAAGATCACGAGATAAGAATGGCGACAATGATCACGATAATCATAATAATAAACTTTTTTTTTTTAAAGTGACGGTGTGGTTTGGATCTCTGGCGGTGTAGAAATCGGGGGGGGGGGAAGGGGAGAAGGCAAGGCGGGACATGGAGGGGACGAAGACGAATGAAAAATGAGGGTTGGGTTAAATGAGTACTGATTGGTTGGCTGGACTGCAGCGTCCAAAATTCCAGCCAGCATGGAATTGTGGGAGTGGAAGTAGTCCCCTCTTAAAATATGCTGAGTGGGGGATTCTGGGAGTGGAAGTCCACCTCTTTTAATGCCTGCCGGCTGGGGGATTCTGGGACTTGAAGTCCTCCCATCTTATAGCATCCTGGCCGGGGGATTCTGGGAGTTGAAGTCCTCCCCTCTTAAAGCATCATGGCTGGAATATTCACATTTCTGTGGGGGAGACAACTGTCCGAACTTCAAATCTGGGTTTTAGCCCGGTAGGCTCTGTCCGAACTTTTGAACATTTGCTATGGAATTGGTCATAAGTTGAGGACTATCTCTATTGCCTTGACCAGTGGTAAGAGTGCCTCAGAAGGATAACAACATATATGCCACCAGTTCCCCCTTCTGGCTAGTTATGGAATAGCATGGAGAGAAGGGCTGATTGGGCGACCGTGGTTTTGGTCGAAAGTGTCTACACGGCATTCATTGCTGGGATTGCTTGGAACTCACCCACCTTCAGAAGGTGGCACCCTGCTAGGGTGGCAAACTTGGCCCTTCTCTCAGACCTTCCCAGAGGCGGGACAAAGGGTGATGGACACCCAGCACGTGGCCCCTACGGAGAGTAATTCATCTGGTTATGGATCTCGGCTCCTGCAAACTCCACCTTAATGAACGTGGGAGTTGATGTCCCAAAGCACAAAAGGGTCCCAGGTCTGGACAAGCTGCTGAATTGGAACCTTTGTCCAGTTCAAATTAGCCCCCCCCCCCCCAGCTTAGAGGATCAATTCAAATAATTTGCCGTGTTTAAAAAAAAATAGCCATCTTCTGTGGTTCTGGAGTTTTCAGCATTCTTTAGCCGTCTTTGTCTACACTAAAATGTGTATACTTCGCACACACACACACACAACCCCAAAATGGTATGCAACGAAATTTCATTTTAATGGGTGCCGACCAGTGTACATTCAAAGTGACAATGTAATTCTCCTCTTCTCTTCTCCTATTCTTATTCCATATTTTAATCTATTCTATTCCATTCCATTCCGTATTTTCTATTCTATTCTATTCTATTCTATTCTATTCTATTCTATTCTATTCTATTCTATTCTATTCCATTCCATTCCTATTCCATTCCATTCCATTCCATTCTATTCCATTCCTTATTCTATTCTACTCCTAATCCCTATTCTATTCTATTCCATTCTCTTCTGCATTCTCTTCTCTTCTGTTTTGTTCTGCTCCGGATTCTATTGTACATAAATACACATAAATACAAATTTGGATCACAGAGATGGAGCAAAGGTTCATCCCTGGGAAAAAAAACCCGCTCCTCCGCATTCTCACGAACGCGTCTGGTTTTTCACCCAGGCATCCTCAGCGCCCGTGTCCCTTTCAACAGTGACTCAATGAACTGTCCAAGGCGAGGACTTCCTGTTCATCATTTTGCTTCCCCTCTTAACAGCCAGAGCGTTCTTGATAAGGAGAAACCAGCTGTCTGATCTCGCGATAGGTCAGACTACAGTCCCCTCCATTCCTATGCCGGTTGGGGACGATGGGATGTGGAGTACTCTTTATATATGCAGGAATATTTCTGATTTCTGAGTGGCAGATCTGCCTGAGAGTGGGACTCTGGGGCAAACAAGGTTGAACAAGTGCTTTGGGAACACAACCGGAGAAGAAAACACAGCAGAAAAGCCGATGGAAATAAATTTTTTTTGCAAAACCAGCAGGATTTAATGTTGTAATTGTTGTTTTTGTTATTATTATATACTTTATTCATTAAACAGGAAATTCAGTCAACTGAACATTTAAAAATGTATCACAAATATTATTCTACTCTATTCTTTTCTATTCCCATTCTATTCCCATTCTATTCTGTTCTATTCTGCATTCTATTCTATTTCTGTTTCTTATACTGTTGTATTCTCTATATTCTATTCCATTTGTATTCTATTTCAATTCTTATATTCTATTTCTATTCTTTCTTATTTTATTCTATACTATTATATTCTGCGTTCTACTTCTATTCTTATTCTATTCTATTTCTATTCTATTTCGATTCTTTCTTATTCTATTCTACATTCTGTGCTATTTCTTATTCTATTTGTTATATTCTATTTTATTTCTATTCTATTTCTTAATGTATTCTATTCTATTTTTATTCTATTTCTATTCTATTCTATTCTTTCTATTCTATTTCTATTCTATTCTTATTTTATTCTATTTTATTTTTATTCTATTCTATTCTTATTCTATTCTTTCTATTTCTTATTCTATTCTATATATTCTATATTATTCTGCATTCTATTCCATTCTCTATATTCTATTCTTGCTATTCTTCTATTCTATTTCTATTCTGTTTTGTTTCTATCTTATTCTTTTCTAATCCTTATTCTAATTATTCTAATTCTAAATTAATTATTCCAAGGCCGGAAAATTTCTACTCCTGGCTAGGCAGTGCCGCTGTTTGGCCGGCAGAGGGCGGACCTAACGGTATCAGAGCAGAGAGACGGGGCGAAAGAGCGCCCCTCTAGAGAGCGCATGCGCAGGGCGACGACAGTAGGCCGCGGCCTAACTGTCGTCGTTCGCTCGCTTGGGATTCCATTCTCGCGGGTGCGGAGGGAGCCGGTCACGGCCGCCCCAACGGGATGTTCGTGGCGCTAAACGAACTGCTCGGGCTTTCCGTGGAGCAGCCGGAGCGGGTGAGAGAGAGCGCGAACGCGTCGCCGGCTGGATCTTTTTTTTTGTCTCTCTCGGATCCCGTCGCCGTGCGCGTGCGCGTGAACCAGGAGCGGGCCGGGATGTACCGGGCCCGCGACGGCTGAGACTCCGCTCTTCCCAAGATGCTTCTGGCGACTTGGCTTTTGGACGCGAGGCTCGCCGGGAGTTGTAGTTCTTTCTCTCCTGATTGCCCCCATTTTGGAGTGGGGTTAAGTTATACACTGACGCTCCCTGCTTGAGCTGGCAGGGGATCATGGGCATTGTAGTGCAACTCTGGTTCTTAATAGGCTCGGCAGACTTCAGCTCTCAGAATCTAATTGAAATTTAATTTTAATTTATATGCTTTATTTAACAGGTCAGAAATGGTGTCTCCCACTTGGGCTGGGGGTTGGACTAGATGACCTACAAGCTCCCTTCCCACTGATTCCCTGTTACTGCTTTTCTATTCTGTTCTGTTCTATTTTAACACACACACACACACACACACACACACATAATTTCATTTGATTGATAGTCTCTTCTGTTCTAATTTACATATACGTTTACATTTTATTATATCTATTTTGGTTTTATGTGATTTGATTTGATTTATAGTCGATTCGATTCGACCTTATAGGTTTACATTTGATCATAAGTGTTATTTCGGGTGGATGTGATTTGACCTTTTGTGGCACATTGTTATATTTTATGATAGGCTTCATGTTTATTTTATTTTTTTATGATTGGTATCTTGTTATTTTATTTTCTATCTTTTATTCTATTTGTTTTTGTGCCATTTCTCTTTATATTTTGTTAATTTATTTTATATCTACCGTATATCTACTGTATAGTCTATATATAGCTACAGCTATCTATCATCCATCAATCTTTCTATCCATCTATCAATCCATCCATCATCTATTTATCCATCCGTCCATCTCTATCTATCCGTCTATATCTATCCATCCATCATCCATCTATGTATCTATCTATGAATATATCTCTATCATCTATCTTTCTATCTACATCTCACGTCTATCTACGTGTCTGCCTGCCTGCCTCTATCCATACAAGAGGGCAAAACTCAGTCATGTTTCCCTTTTGGGCTTGTAACTCGGGGACTAATCTGATGTATACGGGATCTATATTTTTAATATTGTCATCTTTTCCCTTTTTGATACCATCCCAGAAACAAACTCTTGTTTTTGTTTTTTTCAGAGCAAATTGATTTTGCTTTGTGCCACGCAGACAGATGCCAGTTTCCTGCTCCACCATTTTCTTTCCTTCTACCTGAAAGGTACGCGGGCAAGGAAGGACTCCGTAACCTATCTCCCGCCTCAGTAGGCAGCCGTCCGGTTCTCCATCATTAAAAAAACAAATATCGTGACTTACAACCATTCACTTCATGATCGTTCGAACGATCTGAAAAATGAGACAACCGTTGTTCACGCTTAACAACCGTTGCAGAATTCCAGCGGACACGTGATCAACATTCCAATGCTCGGCCGCCGATGCGTATTTACAACGGTCGCAATGTCCCAGGGCTTATGTGATCCCCTTTTTCCGACCTTCTGACCAGCAGGAAGCCAGATTCACTAACCACGGAAGTGGTTAGAGCTACTCAATTGAAATCACCCCCCTCCCGCTTTCTCAGGCTATGTGGCAGCATGGCCTCCAAAGCTGACAATTCACTTAACAACGGCGGTTGTAAAGCTCGTAAAATGGGATGAAGCTCACTTCGCATGTTTCGTTTAGCAACAGAAATCTTCTGTGTGGGTCGTAACTTGAGGACGATCCGTATAACATCTTTCTCTCTTTTTGTCTTTCACAGCGGGTTGCAAAGTCTGTTTTCTGGCCTTCGTGCAATCCTTCAGCCATTACAACTCTGTGGCTCAAAAGCTGGTAAACCTGATTTTATTTTGGTCTATGAAAACATATTTATATCTCTTACAACTTTGTGGACTTCAAGTCCCAGAATTCCTGGCTGGGGGAATTCTGGGAATTGATGTCCGCCCAGGTTAATTGGAATCTGAGGAATCAAGACCAGAGTTTCCCAAGTATTCTGGGTTGGTGGTCCAGAGGGGCGACAAAGGGGTAAAGTTTCTGTGGTTGGGGCAGGCATATGTGCATGTACACGTGGTAGAGCACCCGTTGCTTGCATGAGTCCTGTGAGGCTCGTGTGAGTTGGGCTGTGATAACCTGTGATGTTCGCGTGTGGGGCTGTAATCACTTGTGAGGCTCACGCGAGTGTGGCTGCAATCCACCGTGAAGCCCAACTGAGTGATATCACCCGTGCGAGTCCTGTGATCACCTGTGAGGCGAGTGTAGCTGGAATTACCCGCACAGCTCGTGTGAGTGGGGCTGCGATAACCCAGGAGCCTTGCATGGTACGAGGTTTGTGTGAGTGGGGCTGCGATCACCTGTGATGTTCGCATGAGTGGGGCTGCAATTACCCCTGAGGCTCACACGAGGGGGCTTCAGTCCACCGCGAGGCCCGCCTAAGTCGTATCACCTACTTGAGTCCTGCAATCACTCGTGAGGTGAGTGCGGCTGAAATTACCCATATGGCTCGTATGAGTGGGGCTGTGATAACCCGTGAGGCTCATGCAAGCGGGGATGCGATCACCTCGTCCGAATGGGATTACCTGCGAGGCTCGTGTGAGTGGGGCTGCAATCACCTGCGAGGCTTGCGTGAGTTGACCTGCGATCCACCCTGAGGCTCGCGCGAGTCGACCTGTGATCACCTGCGCCATTCATGTGAGTGGGCTGCAATCCACTGCGAGGCTCGTCTGAGTGGTATCACCCGCGCGAGTTGTGCGAGACGGTTGTGGCTGGAACACCCGCGTGGCTCATGTGAGTGCAGCTGCGATAACACATGAGGCTCATGCGAGTCAGCTGGCGATCATCCGCAAGGCTCGCGTGTGTGGCGTGGTGATCGCCCATGATGCTCGCGTGAGTGGGGCTGCATGCATGCGCACAGCAGCCACCAACCCGTATGGCCCGGTTGTGAATGGACTGTCAACTCGTAAAGCATTCCTGACTTGCTCTCGAGTTGCCATAAGAAGGGAGGGGGGAGGGAGATCTGATGGAGCAGCTTGGTTGCTATGACCAGAAGCCCATTCCATGCATACCTTTCTCCAGATTGTGTCCCAGGTTACCAGAGTCAGCCAGAGGGTCATGTTTTTTACAGCCTTCGGTTGGAGAATGTGATTTATGACGCACCCTGGGAGGAAAGGGCAGTAAATTACATAGGGCAGAGCCAACTGCATTTGGGAAAAGGGTGACATGTTGCTCCATTAAGTAATTGGATTTATTTTGAAACTTGGCTCGAGGCTCATGAATTAATTAGGGCGTCCGTCGGAACCCTGACATAGGCTGCACCTCAGTAGAGGGCTGGGCCCACAGATTGTGGACCCCTGATCTAGACAACGACAGTGTATGCTTGGGAACGGGTGAAATACATCTAGTTCTCGTGTTACAACGGTTCCTTTTACAATCGTTCAAAGTTATAAGAGAGCTGGAAAAAAAACTCAGGCGGGTCCTCGGACTTACAACCATGACAGAATCGCATGCAGCGAGCGAGCTCTTCTGGAAAAAAAAAATCCCATAGTCTCGTTCCTTGCTCAGAAAATTCCTGTTTCTCCTTTTCCCTGTTGTTGTTTTTAGGGAGTCAGTCTCCTGACAGCCAAGGAACAAAATCAGCTGGTGTTCTTTGAAGGGCTGAAATTGGCAAACCACGTTTTCTTCAGCGACGCGCAGAAATCCGAGGACCCCAATCCTTTCCAGTTCATTAGGTAGCGGAACGTTTTTTCCCTGGAGGCCCAGCCCTCCACTAAATTTGTTTCGTGACCGTTCAAAATTACGTTGACACTGATATCTTATTTTATGATTTTATATGATTTTATTTATTTTATTGCGTTCAAAATTATGATCACACTGATATTTTATTTTATTATTTTAATTTGTTTTATTTTTTATTTTATTATTTTAATTTATATCACTTTATTTTATTGCGTTCAAAATTACCACTAATATTTCATTTCATTTCCTTTTATTGTTTTAATTTTATTTTTATTTTGTTTTATTACTTTATATTATATATATTTTATTGTGTTCAAAATTACTGCTGATATTTTATTTCATTATTTTATTTCATTCAGTTTATGTTATATTTAATTTTATTTTGATTTTATTGTTTTATTTTATTTTATATTTTATTCATTTTATTGCGTTCAAAATTACCACTGATATTTTATTTCATTATTTCATTGTTTCATTTCATTTCATTGTTTTATTTTATTTAATTTTTATTTTGTTTTATTTTATTGTATTATTTTATATTTTATTTTATTGTGTTCAAAATTACCACTGATATTTTATTTCATTTCATTATCTTATTTTATGTTATATTTAATTTTATTTTATTTTTATATTTTTTTTTTTTTTTTTTTTATTATTTTATTTTATTATTCTGAACAAAGTTAAAATACAAAATGCAAAGTTCAATCAAATAACCATTTTTCACATTTACGACCATTGCCACATCCCCAGTTATGTGATCAAAATTCAGAGGCTTAGTAACTGACTCACATTTACAATGGTTGCAATGTCCCTATCTCTCTTAACAACGGAAATTTTCGGCTCAATTGTGATCATAAAGAGAGGACTACCTGTATATGGGAGAAATTAAATCATTTTGGTCATACTTAGCAGATATAAGTTGCCCTTGACTTACGACCAAAATGGAGCCCAAAATTTCTGGTGCTAAAATCCACATAGTCCTTAACTTGACCACAATTGAGCCAAATCTGTTGCTAAGGAAGACAGTTATTAAGTGAGTTTTGCCCCATGTTACGATCTTCCTTGCCACGGTCCTTGAGTGAATCTCTGCCATTCTTAAGTTAGTGACAAGGTTGTTAAGCGAATCCGGCTTCCTGCTCATCCGACGATCGCAAAAGAGGACCGTGTGACCCTGGGACACCATCCCCGTCATAAATCCAAGTCACTTTCCAAGCATCTGAGTTTTGATCACGCTGCCACGGGGATGCGGCGATGCCCGTACGGGAGCTAAAGATCCTAAGTGCCTTTTTTCAGGGCTGTCGTAACTCGGAACAGTCACTAGATGAATGGTTGTAGTCAAAGACTAGCTGTGGTTCCGAAAGTCGGACCGTTGACCGTGGTTGACTTCAATTTTCCATCCCTCGTTTGCAGCGGAGATGGCTCGGATCTGAAACAACTTTACCATTTTGTCCGGACATCCATGAATCCTTCTGCTGACGGATATCGGTGGAAGTTCCCCGTTGTGATCATTGACGATCCCGGTGTCCTGCTAAGTCTTGGAGTGCGGCTGACGGATGTCCTGAATTTCGTTCACTATTGCCGGGCGACCGTCAATGATGAACTGAAGGTAACTCTCGACGCAGGTCATCCTCGACTTACAACAGTTCGTTTAATCATCATCATCTTTTAATGACCACATAAATCCTTGTGGAGTAAAGGCAATTGAATGGAGCTAGCAGAGTGTTTGAATGGCCAGATGCCCTTCCTGTTGCCAGTGTGGAGTTTTGTTCAGCAGATATATTCTCATTATGCCCAGAGAGAGAAATATTTGCCTCTACCTAGGATTGAACTCACAGCCTTCTGATTGTGAGGTGAGAGCTCCACCTCTAGGCTACCGCATCACTCATTTAGTTACTGGTTCATTTAGTGACCGGTCAAAGTTCCGACGGAAATGAAAAAAAGGGACTTAGGACCCTGTTTTGCACTTGTGAGCCGTCGCAGCATCCCTGCGGTCACGTGATCAGAATTCAGACAACTCCTTTTTACGACGGTCCCAGCATCCCGGGGTTGGGGCAATCCGTTTCGCGACCACCCAACAAGCAAAATCAGTCAATGTCACTGAACAACCGTATGGTGAAGTTAAACACCGCCGGGATTCACTTAGCAATGGCGGCCCAAAAGGTTGTTACATGGAGAGAATGGTCGATGGGCTGGCTTTGTGACGGGAATTGGGGTCGTAAGTCGAGGACTGGGCGTTTTGGGCTCTCTAACTTGTATTCTGAGCGGAAAGGCGAACCAAGTGAACAATGATGGTTTGTGTTTTAGGGGAACTTGGTTTTCCTGGTGCGGAGCAGTGAAGCGTCGGAAGACGAGGAGAATGAACTTCTGGGAAAGGCCCTTCGCCATCAGGCCCACAGCGTCCTCTGGGCCGAAGGTCTGGCCAGCGGCTACTGCAAGGAAGTCCACGGACAGGTGAGTCTACCTGTCTCCTTTCCCTGGACTTCTTGGGGGGAGGGTTTCAAGTAGAGC